TAGCTGTCCATTCTGTGGTTTTAATGTTATGTGGCTAATCAGTGTATACGTGAGCAGCATACAAGTCACTGCACAGTCCCAGATGCACTGTGCAATACAACAGAGAAAAAAGTGATTCTTCCTTGCCCCATAAGGGGTCACTTAGAGACTGTAATAGCAAAGTATGGGAGTCAGCATGAGTCAGTATGGCAAGAGAAAAGTACATTAAATTAGCCTGTCATTGGTAGGATATGGAAATATGTGACTTTAAGTAATAGCCTTCTTTTAACAGCTCTGACAAGGCTAAGTAGATAATTTTAAGTTGGTTTTAATTTGAATTCTGTTTAACTAGGTTTTTTGGGGGCGAATACTTACATAAACCAAAAAAGACCACGACACCCTGTAGGACGGATCGGGTTTACAAATATTTAAGCTAAAAGCACAAGGGTGTGAAGAATTTTGGACCAATATCATTATTTACATTAATGATTTGAAAATTAATTAATTTTGTTTGTGTTGTTATATAAGCCCTCTTTTGTACAAGGAAAAGGAACTTCATTAATACCATGGCACCTTTATTTATAATGTCAGTGCGCCCCAGGGTGGCTGTGGCTATAATGTAGCTGCCATCACCAGTGTGTGAATGTGTGTGTGAATGACTGGATGACTGGTTGTGTAAAGCGCTTTGGGGTCCTTAGTGGCTAGTAAAAGCGCTATACAAATACAGGCCATTTACCATAATGCACTTCAACATAAAACCTGGGTTCACAATATGCTGTGCATATACAAATAGCATAAACCATAATACTACTACTACTACTACTAATAATAATAATAATATAACAAAACAAAACAAATACTTATCAGTTTTAAAGTCTCTCAGCTCACCATTTTTAAATTCGTACATCCCGGGTATCTATAATATAAGTTCAGAGCATTCATCACTCATCCGTATGCCTATATGAGGCCACCGGGTGGCTTGTGAAGACGTAAAACAACTCCTTTGGGGAGGGGGGTTAAAGAGGAAGATACTCATGTTATATTGGGTATAATATACCTAGCTCTGTCAGTAATGTGTAAAACACTGTGTGCCAAATAAGTGGCTGAAGGGCGTCAGTTTCACATTCCTTCTTTGCAGGAGGCAAGGGAAGATTCATATGACATTTAAACGAAAGCATATTTTCAATAAAACACCCAAGTGGAAATAATATAAAGGAGTTGGAGTATCTTGAAAGCATGACAGGACTTCAATAATGTTTAAATAATTTAGTGACTGAGTCACTCCTGTCTGTGTGTGAAGTTGTACTTTTATGATCCGCAGATCAGATGGGCCACAATACTTTCAGATATACAAACCTGTAAGTGCATAGCAACCAAGACACGTTTGGTGTAGTTTTCAATATTTTGACCGCAAATTCAAAGTGACTTGAGGTTGTGACAACAGTGACTGCTGTTGTGATTTGGCACTATATAAATAAAACTGAACTGAATTGATTTTCTGTTATCAGGGATTCCAGTTTACGTTTAATGGACTGGCACAGACACAGAGCGTTAGTGATGAACAGGAATGCCAGAGAAGAAATGAGAACTGAGAAATTGGAACATTTTTATGTCCATTTTTTGCAGATTGATCATCAGGAGTGCTGAATGCTAATAACCCCTGTTGTTACTGCACTTGTTATTGTTTGACACCAGAAGTTTCATTTCCCTCTTTTTGGGTCAAATGTTAACTATATAAGTTGCTGAACATGCACTTAGAGAATTAAGATTATTTCAACATCTGTCAGAACCACTGCATAAAAAAGAAAGGAGTACATTTCGTACATGCACAGTATTAAGCTTTTTCACAGCTAGTAATAAAAAAATCTTTTCACTTGTGTAACATAAAAAAAACATCCATATTGAAATTAGTCTTAATAAATTATGTAAGAGCACAGTATAATTTGCAATATTTGTTTGGTTATTCAATGGCTCAAAAATGTCTTTCCAAGTTTGTCCTGAACATATTCTAATATTTACGATGACTGCACAAATTGGCAGTAGGCATCCACATTCACTGGTTACTTTCTATCACTGGTCACTGGTACACCTGTTCAACTGCTTGTTAAAGCAAATACCTAATTAGCCAATCATACGGCCGCAGCTCAAGAGATTTAGCCAAGCAGACATGCTCAATATGACCTGCTGAAGCATCAAATGATGAAATAGGAAAAAAGAGAAGATTTCAGTGACTTTGGATGTGTTATGGTTGCTGGTGCATGACAGGCTGGTCTGAGTATCTTAGAAACTGCTGATTTACTGTGATTTTTCCACGCAACCATCTCTTGTATTTACAGAGAGTGGTGTAAAATGAGAAAATATCCAGTGAGTGGGGGTCCAGGCACACCCAATAAAGCCACTCTGAATTTTACACATGCGCTTGACATATAAGTTACACTGATTTGTGTATTTTGGTAATGAAAAAGTTCAAAACCACATCACTAATAAGTTATTGCAGTACAAGCTCAAATTAATTATGCAGTTCACAGTAGTTTAGTGGTTTTGCAGCAATTATGGTAACCAGTGGGACTGAGGGGGATGCTGAGAAGACAGGCCCAGGCACGTCAGGCTTCGGGACCAAAAAAGAGCTCATTCCTCAGCTTCTGAAGCTAGCTTGAAAGCATGAGCCTACATGAAAATTGCAACAGAAATGGAAATGTGTTATGGATGTTGTGCAATCAGACTCAGCTGTCGTAGTGTGTGGGGAGTTCACTGGTCAACTTACAAGCCTCCTATTTGTCGCCTGGTGCAGAAGGTTTTGCACTTTTATAGCTGTGGATGCTTTTTTCTATTAGTGGACTATACATAGAGTATATAGTTGTAAACATACATATTGACTTGAACGACCACGAACAACTGATATGAACCAGTTCTGACTCTAGAAATGCCTTGTTCATATCAGAAGTCAGACATGAACGAGGCAGGATAACGCGCCATGTCCCAAAGCTCAAATCATCTCAAACTGGTTTTCTTGAACATAATGAGTTCATTGTACTCAAATGGCCTCCACAGTAACCAGTAGAGCACCCGTGGGATGTGGTGAAATGACAGATTTGCATCACTGATGTGTAGCCAACATATTTGTAGTAGCTGCTATCATGTCAGCACAGGCCAAAATCTCTGAGAAATGTTTCCAGCACCTTGTTCAATCTCTGTCGTGAAGACGTCAATCAGTTTTGAAGGCAAAAGTCCAGCAAGGTGTACCTAATAAAGTGTCTAGTAAGTGTAATTGTTTGATTTTTTGTTCTTATGCACACCATCTTTTAAAAACAGGTTATCATTCTTGATTGAAGTTGTTAGTTGGAGACAATTTGGAAATTATGTTCTTAACAGGTAATTTAAGTTCTTTATGGAAACAGTCATACACTGTGTGCACAATTATTAGGCAAGTGGGTATTTTGGCCATATCATATTTTTTACGCATATTTTCCAACTTCAAGATGAATAAACTTGAGTGCTTATTGGATTTAAGTGTATCAGGTGATCTGTATTTGTATAATGAGTGAGGGTGTGGCCTAAGTAGATCAACACTCTATATAAAGGTGTGCATAATTATTAGGCAGCTTCTCTCCCTCAGGCAAAATGGGCAAAAAAAAGTGATTTAAATGGACTCTGAAAAGTCAAAAATTGTAAAAAGTCTTTCAGAAGGATGCTGCACTCTTGAAATTGCAAAGATATTGGGGCGTGACCACAGAACCATCAAACGTTTTGTTGCAAATAGCCAACAGGGTTGCAAGAAACGCATTGAGCATAAAAGATGCAAGTTAACTGCCAAAGATTTGAGAACAATCAAACGTGAAGCTACCAGGAACCCATTATCCTCCAGTGCTGCCATGCTCCTGAACTGCAACCTACCCAGAGTGTCCAGAAGGTGTTCAGTTCTTAGAGACATGGCCAAGGTAAGGAAGGCTGAAACCCGACCACCACTGAACAAAACACACAAGTTGAAACGTCAAGACTGGGCCAAGAAATATCTGAACAGACATTTTTCAAAGGTTTTATGGACTCATGAGATGAGAGTGACTCTTGATGGACCAGATGGATGGGCCAGTGGCTGGATCAGTAACAGACACAGAGCTCCACTTCGACTTAAACGCCGGCAAGGTGGAGGTGGGGCAATGGTATGGGCTGGTATTATTAAAGATGAGCTGGTTGGACCTCTTCAGGTTGAAGATGGCCTGAAAATCAACTCCAAAACCTACTGTTAGTTTTTAGAAGCAGTCTCACAGGAAAAAGTCTGCATCTTTTAAGAAGACCATGATTTTTATGCAGGACAATGCTCCATCACATGCATCAAAGTACTCCACTGCCTGGCTAGCCAGTAAAGGCCTTAAGGATGAAAAGAAACAGTACACCTCTCTGAAAAGTGTCTGGGAGGCTGTGGTTGCTGCTGCACAAAAAGTTAACTGACAGACTCCATGAATAGAAGGCTTGTGACAGTGATTGAAAAGAAGGATGGCGATATTAGTCACAGATTTTTTATTTTTTATTTTTTATTTTGACACATTTTACATTTTCAAAATTACACAGTGTACATTTTGAGTTGTTTTATTATTCTCACTGTAACATTTGCAAATAAACTAGTGAGATGGGAGAATGTTCATTTTTTTCATTTAGTTGCCTAATAATTCTGCACATATATATAAATATTCTCTTAAAGACAAAACCTCACTTTTACATTCGTAAACATTTGGGTTTAGATTAATTAACATTTTGGATTGACCAAGAGCACTGTCCTTGATCCATAATGAAAATTAATCCTCAAAAATACAACTTGGTTAATAATTGTGCACACAGTGTATTTGATGGGGACTTTATATATTTATTTTTTATCTATTAATCCAAAATCTTTAGGGAGAGTTTTTATATTAATTAGTCTATGACAAAATGATAAAGGCTTCATGAGGCATGTGAGTCCATGAGACATGCCTTGTGTCTGTATATAAGGAGGGGAAAGCAGCTCAGTGGGCAGAACCTGCAGCATTGCAATGGAGACTTCACAGAGGACAAGATCAGTTAGGCCAACGTTTCCTCCAGTTTTCTTCAAAAGCTACAACATATCCGGACAAGGTATGGCACTGACTTCCTATTTGATTTTTATTTTGTGCATTTCTACAGTTTTTCCACTCTTTTCCTTCATAAATGCAGATCAGCCTGTGATTTTATGTATTCACATTTTTTTGGTAGTTGTATAATTTTTAACAAATGAAGAATTTGTGGTATTATGCCCAAATAACTAGTTTTAAAGTGATATTTATTATAATTATTATTCATTATGCTACCTACACATTAGTAAAGCCGTAGGGAGAATAATAGATGGCCCAAAGGATGGGAATAAAACGTCTAATAGTTTAAATTTGATAGTTTTATAATATATTTTTCCGAGTTACTTCAGTCTAATTTCTAGCTTTTTACTTATTTGCTGCATTTCTGAATCATCTTCAAGTGTCAACAAGTGGATTTAAATGAAAAGTGTTTATCTGAAAATCGTTTTTTTGTTTTCAAAATTTGTATGTTTGACCCTGCAGGTGGAGATGGATTTAATCGATGGGTTTTACTGTGCTTGGGACTCTTGAATGCTGTGCTGCTGATAGTCGCTGTTGTTTTTGCGATTAAGTGTGAGTGTAACAGCTCATGTGATGATACAGTTTACTCGTGCTTGGTTGTGTAACAATATTGGTTAGCCAATACAATAATTGTTGAACTCTCAGCAACCACACAAGGGGAAATGCACATTTTCCATATTTCAAAACACTAATCATTTCATAATGATGAACTAATTATATTAATATCACACTTGCTGTCTCTCTTACCTGTGTAGGTGCCAAAGTCAAAGAGGACTCCTTGCACATTTCCAACCCAGCTGTAACACAGCTCTTCAATGAGCTTGACTATCTCCGAGGCAACCACAGCGATGTGATCGAAGCTGAAGAGGAGGCCAAGAAGGCGTTAGAGAGCGCGATCAACAACCACAAAGAAGTAAAGGTGAAAATTGAGCAGCTGAAGACCGTCAATGATGGTTATGAGAAACAGATGCAAGCACTGCAAGTGGAGAAGACAAACCTAAAGTCCAACATATCAGTTTTAGGTGAGAAGTTTTGTTTTAATCTGTGAACTCTGAATACATTAAAGTACCTGAAATGACAAGAAATCCTTTGTTTCTCTCAGAGAACTCTTGTGATAAATGCGCTCCTGGATGGGCTCTTTTCAACTCGTCCTGCTATTTCTTCTCTTCCACCGAGTCCTCTGCTGTCAAAAGGAACTGGCATGAGAGCAGAGTGGACTGTGTTAGTCGTGGCTCTGACCTTGTTGTGATTGATAACCAACAGGAGCAGGTGGGTTGAAAATAAGAGAGAAGAAGCTTGAAAACAGATAAGTCATCTACATACACCACAGACATACAATAGTCACTGAAAGTGATTAGCAAAGATTTTTAAATGTAGCCTTAAGGCTCTTTAGGAGTTTCTGTGTTGGCATAATTTGTATCCCACAGGCAATCGTGGCCAGTTTTGTAAGTAGGCAATTTACAATTTTTATTGACTAAATTTTAAATGTATTTTTCTCTTTTTTTTGCTCACATAGGCATTCGTGAGTAACACCATCAAACTTCTAAAAAACAATCCTCATCAGTGGGTGAATGGATTCTGGGTTGGTCTTACTGACATAGCGACAGTGGGGACATGGGTGTGGCTTAATAATGTCACAGAGGTGGAACAAAGGTAAGAAAAGACATTATTAATTATAGATTTTTATAGATCATTTCCACTTAATTCTCTGTCTCGCCTTTTCTCAGGTACTGGATGGATGGAGAACCAAATGTTGAGGAGGAAAATTGTGTGATTATCATTTACTCCTCCTCTAATCCCTGGAAGACCCGCTATGATGGAAACTGCAATGGGCATAACTTAGACTGGATATGTGAAGTACCATCAAGATAGTCACTCCAGAAACCTGGAATGATTCATATGTTTTATGTTTGGGGCATTTTTAAACTTGTATCATTCAAACTGTATTAAAGTCAATGAAAAGTGTATTACAGTGCAGTAAACAATATTAAAATGTTTTGGAAATTTCTATATCTTACATGGACACATGAGTTTTATAATCTGCTTACATCCAATAGAAAGATTTGCTGTGCTGGAGTTCGTACATCTACCAAGTTAAATCATTATGATCATTAGTACCACATTAGCATCAGTGTACTGGAGTCACAGGAGTCACAGGAGCCCCAGTTTCATTGTGTTTGGCAGTGTAGAGAGATCAAAATATTGTGTGGAGAGATCAGAGTGATGTCAGAACAAAGTTAACTAGGTTTACACACAAAGAAACCCATATGGAAAAGAAAAAACTTATAAAAGACTTGCATAAGATGTGGCCTACTTCATATAAGGCTTATATGATTTATTCATGAAAGCGGCCACTTTCTCATTACTTTCATATATTGTTTTAGGAAGTATCCAAAACATAAGTTTCATTTATATAATTTTTCAAGGGATTTTATATCTGTTTTCACTCTTGTATGCTTTTCATACAAGTTTCACACAAGACGGATACAAACTTTGTAAGATTTATATATATCTTTTCCATATGGGAAGCACTCATAGAAAAATCAAGAAACATTAATGAATCTCCATCTTTAAGTTCCAAAATCCTACAAACATTGATTGCATTGAGGGGGGGGAAAATTCATTTCTTAGATCACATGCTAGAAGTGACAAAGTCTCCAACATTCAGTGAAAAACAAAACAAAACAAAAAACAGAAAAAAGACTACACATCAAAAGTGACAGTGCAATTGTTAAAAAGGCAGCACAGCATAGGTTTCACATATCTATCTAAAGGATAATGTAGATGTTTGTCCATAATGTACTCGCCACGTTTAGTAACAACCAAATACAGCAAACCAACCCAACACAAACACCTCATACCACCTGTAAAGCACAGTGGTGGAGAGGTGATGATTTGGGCTTCTTTTACAGTGACAGATCCTGGACACCTTGCAATCACTGTCGAGTTGACTGTAAACTCCTCTGTGTACCAAATCGTTCTGGGGTCAAAAGAGAGGTCTGACAGCTAAAGCTTGTGCCAGACTGAGTCGTGATAGAACAGGAGATCCAGGCCTCAAGAGCCGGTGTCCTGCAGGTTTTAGATGTGTGCTTGATCCAACACAGCTGATTTAAATGGCTAAATTACCTCCTCAACATTTCAAGTTCTCCAGAGGCCTGGAACTAATCATTTGATTCAGGTGTGTTGACTCAGGATGTTATCTAAAACCTGCATGAGACCGGCTCTCGAGGCCTGGAGTTGGCCACCCCTGTGATATAACAATGATCTCAAACACAGGAGCAGATCTACAACATAATGACTAAATAAAGAAAATAATCAAGGTGTTACCTACTTGAAATGCTGTTGACCTTGACAGAGCTGTGCACAAACCTCAATGAACCAAAGCAATGCTATAAAGCAGCGGTCCCCAATTCCTGGGTCATGGACAGAGTCATTTGGTACCGGGCCATGAGAGCTGAGGCTCGGGTGTGAAATTTATGGTTTTCGGATGTTTTTATCTGTTTTTATCATTATCATTTCATCGTTATTAAAAATAAATAACTAAATTTTTATTGTTAACTTGGTTTCCCTAACTGTGTTATGATTAAATCTTCTTTTTTTGGGGGGGTAGCGGTACCGGTTTTATTTTGTTGTATAAATCTGCGACACCTTAAAGGCCGGTCTGTGAAAATACTGTCGGACATAAACTGGTCTGTGGCGCAAAAAGGATTTGGGACCGCTGCTATAAAGAAGAGTGGGCAAAAATTCCTTCACACAATAATGTGAGAGACTGATGAAGTTGTTGCTGCTAAAGGCGGTTCAACGAGCTACTGAATCATGGGGTACTTAGTTTACCACACACGCCACTTTTGCATAGTGTTTTATAATTAAATAAATAGTAATATGGAATAGCAGTGGTTCCCAAACTGTTTTTGTTAGGCCCCCCTTTGTTTTCCAAGAAAAACGTTCGCGCCCCCCCGCGTGCAAAAACACATCGTCCGACCACACAAACCCATATTTTGTTTTCAAACTCCATTACGGTTTATTTTACACCTCAAACATTTAGTAAACAATTAAGCAAATAAAAGTAATCTGCAATAACTTACAGGTGGTAATAAAATACACTACTAACTCATTTACCCCAATGTATATATATATATA